GAAAAATGTAGCATAATTTTATGTTTAAAATAATTGTATGACTAATTATTATTTACAAAATTGCGACATTTTTTTAATCTTGTGTAAGATGCATGAGTATAAAATGTCAAATAAATGATCATAGTCGTACTTGAAACAAAAAATACAAACAATGCGTTCTATAAATTTTCCAAATGCCATTTTATAAAAACTAACCTCTTTTTCTGGTCTTGATGCGCTGACCTGATAGTACTGGTTTTTCGGTTTTCTGACTCATACAATAACTTGCTGCGAACAAAAAAACAATTGATTAGCACATTTTCAAACTGAAATATCCCAAATTTAATTCATTAACGACGTGGAAATGTGCAAACGCCAAAGAAAGGTCAATGGCTAAAGGAAAAGAAAATACGTAGAATCCTAAATAAAATCATAAATTAAATAATAAGCTTACTTATATACTGTGGTCCCAAATAAAAAAAACTGCACAGGATTTGGAAGATGTGTAAAAACTTATAAAAACAGTTGCAGAACAATGATGTATGCCAATCAGAAATGACCAAACTGAAATGAGTCAGAAACCTACGTGCTGGCTGCCCCAAAGCCGACGATCTGCGTCAAGGATGAAATGAATTTAGCACAATGAAAAAACAAAAAATCAAACTCAATATTAATAACAACGCTTTTGATTGATTAATTCCGTCGTAATATCAGCTTACCTTTTCACAGGTTAGTTATATATCTCAACTGTCTTACTTATAATGTAAATGTGGGGCGAAAGGGGAAAGGAAGAGCGACGAGAACTTCGCGTGCTGCTACAATTTTTATCAACGTGTTGCATAAATTGGTGTTGCCATGTGCGACGAGAATTAAGGCGCGACACGCACGATTCAAATCGAGCTGGGCGGCCACCTTTGTCGACTTAATTCATTTTAAAAAGTTGTATACTTCTACTGAAAGAAACAATGCTATGGTTTATGTTAATACGGGTTCAAACTACACTTATTTTGCTAACAAAAATTAGGTTCATTATTCAATCATCAAGATTTTTAGTATTCTAATGACCATACGTACTATTAATTTAAACAAGCAAATAATTTCAAATGCCTGAGCAAAACTTTATTTGACATCTGACTTACAGAATTCCACCTTATCGATCAAAAGTTATTGAACAAATTCATTTAAATCGATCACACATTAAAGCAATATAAATAGATATACATATATAGATTATTATTCAAATTTTGATATGACAAGACATTTTTCGAAGAAAACGGTTGTATATTACGGTAACCTGCATAAATAAAACTTTTGAAACTACATTTAAGCAGTTTCAGACTAAATATGATTATTACTATCTACTGTGACAGTATTAATTCCTTACGTGATATTAGATCGTAGAGAAAAATTGAATATAATATACATTATGGCCCGCTCCATTGCACGAATCCGTACGGCGAATCTGTTCGAAATGTGCGCAGACTAAATTATTGCAAGCAAAAGCAAACCTCGCGCATGTCAAAAACAGGATTCGCCGTGCGCGTCGTGTAGTGGAGCGGGCCATTACTTGATATATTTGTGGGAAAAGTTATGGATATAAATATATATAAACCATTGGATAAAAATATAAACAATTTATTAATTACAAAATTTTATGAAATGAAAATGACATGTTAATATTGTTTCTCCACGGTGCCTAGCCTGCTTGATTCCCCACACACTCCCTGCCCAGTGTTGACCTCACAGTTTAAAAAAATACAGGGAAACACGTTATAAACATATGGTGGGAAAGCAGATTATAGCAGTGTTGTGGTACTGGTCAATTAGTAGTTCATCCAGTGGAATAAATGACAGTTTCGTCGGCAGATCCACCGTATGGCAGGTAGTTCGACCTTCCATCATCTTCATACTCTGCATATGGTTCTGAATATAAATCAAGTGGTAAATTTTCTAAACCTCGATGTCTTGGTAAACTTCGAGGATTCCGCCACGATCTTTTTGACTTCTGTAGCCCTTTGGATCATACATCGGATTCTCGAATCAGACGTGATTCGAAGGAGAGCGTATTAAAGAGTCATCAACTTGACAAGATGCAGTCTTAAGTCTATGCATCAAAAGACGATTTGGTGAGTTAACGGACAAGGAGAGGTTAAAATGCGATTTCAATGACCATTTGATAGTGCATTCAATTCATGACCCAAGGTCTAGGCTCAAAATGAATTTTTGTGTCAGCAATAAACACTGAGATCTGGGTATACAAAATGAGTATACCAACAGAAGTCCGGTGTCAGGTAGTAAATGCGTTAACTACGATGAACCGAGGACTGGACGTACCTTATGAGTAGTCACGAAAGACCAGTGGTTATGGTGCTGCATCAAAATCTATATTTTTTTAAATCCCCAAAAATGCTCCTTCTCTGTCTTCATCTCAAACGTCGTGGGTCACTAGTGTGGGAAAAGTTATGGATATAAATATATATAAACCATTGGATAAAAATATAAACAATTTATTAATTAAAAAATTTTATGAAATGAAAATGACAAGTTAATATTGTTTCTCCACGATATCTAGCTTGCTTGATATATTGATAGCACATGAATATGGTATCTTGTCAAAATTAAAATGTGAGCTAATATATAATTGCATACATTGCATATATTGCATAAATATACTCTTCTTTTATCTATGTATAATTGTTACTGTCTCTATGTCATAGTGAACTGTCATTATGTACCAGGGTTTTTCACATTTTTATGTTGGTATTTTTGCATCTTCGTGTGTTCACGCGAGATGTCAAAAAAATGGCCGACCATTACTAGACCAGTGTTGCCATGTCTACAGTTTTAGCTATAGATTTGAAGTTTTTTTTGAAAATGTTCCCAGTTTTGCAGTTTTGGGCTCGAAATCTACAGTTTTTTTGCTGAAGATGCTAGCGCCGTTTATTTTATTTGTAATGCAAATTGAGTAGCCATAAATAAACAAGTATCAATTGCTCTGTACAAGTACAAGTAGCAGTTGCACTGAACCAACTTCAATAAAACTACTATTGTTAAACTAGAAATAATGGTCATCGATTATTTTAATAGTATAAAATAAATTTTAATAGTTTTTCTACTAGGAAAAACTCTATGGCTCATGCTTAACAGTCAATGCAACAAAAAAACGGCGTATCTAGCGGCGAAAAGCGAAAGGCTTATTTCTCCTTAACGAATCAACCTTATCTGTTGTTAAATATTTTCTTTATTATTAGTTTTTTTATTATTTTATCCATCAGTTTATTTCTTTAATTTCAAAACAAGTTATTAAAAGAAATTTTGAAAGCACCAAAGTATGTTCCAAATTGGTTAATACACAAAGCCACAGGCACTAGCACATAAATATAGAAATCGCCTAGCTTGCCGACCGACTGTAAATACTTTGATTTTGTAACTAGTAATATTTTTTACTTTAATTACATAAATTACATAGTATTTATAATAATTTAATATGGTTTTATTACGTGTTGAATGATTTGAGTTTAATTTTATAATAAATCGATTGATGATTTTTTGTTTTCTATTTCGCATATACGCGCATGCTTTGATTGGCGCGAACAATAACTCTACCAGGGCCCGATTAAAAAGAAAATTTCTTCTGCATTAATCAACAATAGATAAGACCTTCGACAAATCGCTGGCAATGGTCAGATGATTTGTATTTTGCCAACGCCTTCAGTTTAATGTCAAATATTTCACTTGTTGTCCGTTTCAGAACTGTTGTAAAAATTATTAAAATAATAAAAAAGGAAAAAAAAGTGTAGACACAAAAAATAATTTTTATCTTCCCGTAGAGCAAGTTATTGTAATCGTCCAAAAATCGAAATTGATTTTTTTTGCATTTCTCGACGTTTTGAAGGTTTCCTAATATTTTGGCATACCTCAGAAAAAATGAATGTGTGTGTGTATGTATGTATGGATACAATTTTTGGTCATGTTTTCGGGTGCAAGGATCAACCGATTTGAATGGTTAAAAAAACATTCGATTCCTATTGATAGGGAGATGTGCTGATTAGTTTTTGGCAAAGGCAAGTCCAGCAGTTACGGAGATAAAGAGCAAAGAGTGCAGAAATAGAAATTGAGTTTTTGAGAGAAGGGAGTATCCGATTTAAATGATTTAAAAAACATTCAATTAGTAATGATTGGGAGAAGTGGTTATTAGTTTTTGGCAAAGGCAGGCCCAGCCATTTCGAAAATACAGAGCTAATGTGCAAAATGTCTGATTTAAATGATTCAAAAAACTTTTTGCATGTTTTAACAAAATAATTGATTTTGGAAAAAAAATGTCTCAATTTTTTTTTCAGAATTTTTTTTTTGTCAAAAATAATTCAGATTTTATTTTTAATTCTGACTAAAGTTCTAATATACTTTAAACAAATAATTCCAACTTTGCAATTCAGTTTATATAATTCTTATAAATATTAGACAATGTTACAATATTTATAATAATCTATATGAAAACATTCAAAGTTGAAATATATCTTCTGAATAATCAATATTTTAAATAAAATTATTTATTGCATATTGTTCCGTTGTTTCGTTTAATACTCAACTAGTTTATGTTTGACTCAAATCTACCTTTATTAATAATAACATAAAATAATAAATAAATAATGAAATATACAATATATTGTGTACGCTACGATGAAAAACCTATATTCAGGAATAATCGCTTTTTGATAGGTAACGATAACCAACGATAACGATGTTTTTGATGGATGATTATAATAACACCGTTAGCGATCATAATTGCTTTCAAACTGTATATTTTTTTTGCAAAAATACCATTAATGTTAGTTGCTATATGTATTCTATATAATATTACCATCATTTAATGATAAAGCTGTAGGTGTACAGTTTTTTACTTTGATATCTACAGTTTTTTTCTGGCCTATCTACAGTTTTTCTCTATGGCGGATCTGTCAACACTGACAAAACATACCATCCCAGAACAAACACATAAATACGGTTCGGCATCAGTCAAATATTTGACTAAAGTCAGTTTCAGTGATCGTTATTTGTCGTTTACAAAAAGCATTTATTTTATTTTGGCTATTTAACTTGTGGTTTTCGTTGTTTTTATTCGTTTCATGTAGCATTTTTCAAAATGGATGGTGTAAGTTTAGAGAAATTCGAACAAGAATTGTTAAAAAAGCAGAAGCTGTATCTGTCGCTTATACAACCTGTAATACAAGAATTGGTGGACGAACATAATGTGAGTTCTACTGATTACTCGTAGATATTGTCTTTAATTATTCACTCATTTACAAATTTCAATATAAGGACGAGTATATTAAAGTTTTTTCCTGGGAAGTATTCAACTTACACATACACTGGATATCTTGGAACCACATTTAATCTGTACGGTATACCTTCAAAATTCTATAATTTATTCTCAAGAACACTCTATATATGTAATCACAATTACTACCGTTTACATATACTTTAATACTTCATTTTCAATCTTCAAAGGCTCAAATAACACTAATAATCAGCTATAAAAGGACTTGTGATGAAATAATTAAATGTGTTACGACAGTTTGACGAAGTATTACATTTATAAAATGCAAGTTCATTTTTTCTGGCTCGTTTTTTTAAGCTTTGTTTTGTATATCCAATGCACTGCAGTTTATTTTGTATATCATATGTTACACTTTTCTGAATCTTTTATAAATAAATTATTATTAAAATTATATTAAATTAAATATAATAAATTATTTTAAAAAATAAATAATTATTAAAAAAAGTTCAAATAATGCAGTGTGTTGCAAGTGATTATGTTTAACGGTATTAAATTATTTTGTAATGATTTAAATAAATTCGGTATATAAGGAATACATTCATTTTATATCTTTCAGGTGCATTTAATAAAAAATTTAAATTTGAAATTTGTATTTAGTTTTTTGATTATGATTCAAATATAGTATATATATATATATATATATATATATATATATATATATATAATGCTTAAATATTTCCTTTTCTACAGGAGTTTATGAAAAATTTGGAAGCATGTGAACCACCACAAACAGAGGATGTTTCTACCGTAGGGAGACCAAGAAGAAATGCTGCCAAAAGTGCTTCAAATAAAATTTCCACTCAAGTAATTGTTAATTTGTGTTATTTATATTTTATCAAAATATTATTTTTTGTTAAATTAAAAGTAATATTTATTCAAAGGCACATCTAAAAATTACGAAACTTAGAAGACCTGATGATAAAGATGTAACGGGTAATATTTATGACCTACCTGATAATAAAACATCAATTTTAGAAAGTTGTTCTAATATCACACAGGTATGTAGACTAGAGTCAAACATTTTTAAATATGATTTTTACTTCTATGTGGTCACTGATCAATTTAGCTTTAATGTTATCAATTATGCATGCAAATTTTCTCTAAATTATCAATAAATTATCTCTAATTTAACATTTTGTGTTCACTTATAGGATATTTCAGTTCAAATTTTAAATAATGAAAGACCAGAGAATTCTGAGAATCCTGCCATTTCATCTGATGAAGATGAAGAGGCTATGCGTGCTCCTGCAATAAAAAAAAGAGGTAGGATATAAATAGTGATAACTTTTTAACAAGCTCTAATCTGACTAAGTAATATTCTGACTAAAGTAGAAATATTTACTTTTAGTCTTATGATGTAGGAAAAATGCCTTATTTAGATAATAACATGTATAATATTAATATCATCTAATAAAAATATTTCAGTCTAAAACTGATCGTGTCTCTGGAAATGTATTCAACTATTTATTTTTTTTTTTTTATTTAGGTAGGAAAAAAATTCGAAAAATTAAAGCTGAAAAATTATCAGTGGCTATAAGTATTAAAGAAGAAGTTGAAGAGGATGCTCAAACAAATGAACAAACACATGTAATAGAAAATATTGTCAATGAAACTCTTACCATAAATGATCATCAAGAAATAAATGAGGATAAAGGTATATATTCTGACTAAATTGATTTTATAACACAAAACAATGTTTTTTTTTAATAAACCGCTTTATTAATGTATTTAGAATTACCCAAAAACGATTCTGGTTTATCTGTTTATCAAGACGCTGTTACTACTCAAGTTATTGCAGCAGAATCAAGTCCAAATGAATTAATTAATTTATCACCTCCCTTGGAAGATATAAAAGTTCAAAAGCATATAAAAGATGATAAAAAATTATCTGACAAGGTGGAAGTTGTAATAAATAGAGATCCTTCTCTTGAACTTCCGAAAGAGGTGAGGAAGCATGGAACACATTCATTATGTATATAAATATATAAATAAATAAATCAATATATATATATATATATATATATATATATATATTGAATTAATGCTTGTTTACCAAGAATTTCGTTTTTATCAACATATATATAATACCACATTTTTTAGAATTTGCCAAACAACTCTGCACCAATACAAAGCAATGAAGAACCAAAAGAAATTAATGCAAATGCTACATTTATGATTACTCCAAATCTTGATATTCCCATAGTTATAAAGCAAGAACTAAAAACTCCTGAAAGACAGTTCATTCCTGTTATGGATCAAACAATTGTTATGGAGAATTTACTAACACCTGCAACCACAGTAAAACCACATCCTTCAAGAGGTATACATCATAAGCTATTAACAATAAGTTTGGTTATTATCTATTTATGTGTACTTTGTAGAATCTCCATTGATTACGGATGATGAATCCATCTCGGGAACTTCTCCCCTGGAAACAGTTGCAGTAAACGCTCCTGAGCCCAGGTGTGTAATCCTTTTTTGCATGTTAATTTTTTATATTGATGAGCTCTAATTCAATTTTTTGTTGTGGGAGTTGATTGTGGACACAAGAGATCGAGAACTAATATATTCAAATAAAAAAAATGCAAATAGTGATATTGATAATGATTACTAAGTAAAAATGAGCTACTTGATTATAATTTAAAACAAAGACTTTTTTCTTATTTTTTATATTGTCATACTAAAAACTTTAATACTTTTTATAGTTATAATAGTTTTATATTTCCATTAACTTCTAGAAGAAGATGTTAGTATTTGCCAGAAAATCCTATTTGCTTTTTTTCTTGACATTTCAATTCCTTCTGAATCTGTTGAGACCAAAATTTGATAAAAGCTTTGATAAAGGGCTTTCAATCTCGAACTAAAATCTAAATATCGCTTGTTGATTTATACTGGTGCCAAATAAAAAAAATGAATAATTCTATTTTTATTATAATTTGTTATCAGCAATTTAGGCTGTTTATGAACACTTGTTATGACGTTATGGGGAGATCCACTTTTTTATAATTTAGACTTCGTATTGTTTTAAAGTGAGTTTAAAGGCCACTTGTAGTTTACCCCTGTATACTTTATTTTTTTGCGCACATTTTGCATTTAGCAACCTCTCCATTTTTTTTTAAATAACAATCAGAAGTTTTGTTCTATCTTTTTCGGTGCCCCTTAAATGCATTCGTTTTTCAAGGAGTATATCGTACACTTACCATGTCCATATAATTCACATGACATATGTATTAATATTTCACATGAAATTAATCAGTATTTAAATATCGTTCTATTCTGACTTTCATTCAAATATATCTATACATATAAATAAAATTGAAGTGCAATTGGAATTGTATTGGGTCATATTTTGGTAAAGAATTTTTTTTTTAAATATTCACATTAAGTACACACAATCTATAGGCACCACAAGACAATGGAATGAAAATTGAAATTTAAAATAAAAAATATATTTTTACTACTACACTACGGTTGATCAAACAGCAAAATCAAATCAAATAATATTTGAATATAAACTATTCCTAAAAAGGATATACAATAAAAAGAAATATATCGTTTCGTTTGTATATTATGTTTATAAACCATTAATAGCGAATTAGATATGACACGAGATGTAGACGTAAACCATAAACAAACCTTTAATGTTGCCAAACTCGGTATGTGTTTTACCGGTTTTTAATACTGAACAAAAATTGACTCGCATCCTAGAATTCATGATTGATGATTTTGCCAAAACGGCTGCACCGATCACAAAAATTTAGAAGCCATTCGACGTAATTGTCAAAGAACTCTCGTTTATTAAATTTTGCGACATTCGGCCAAGCCGTTTCTTTATAATTAACTGTTCTTTTTAAAAAAAAATGTCGAAAATTTTTATTTTGGGTATTGTGCTGATTAGTTTTTGGTAATGATCGGTTGGGTTGTTTCTTCGTAACTAAATATTATAAAAAAACGTTTTCAATGAAGTTTAACATGGTGCAATTAGTATGGTAATAAAATATTATGGTGAAAAGTATTATAGATCTACGAAAAGTTGTTGAATTATAACAATTTCACCGCGCTTTTAGAACGTACAAGCGCATATTTGTGTCTATTTAAAAGATATCAATTGGAAATAGCATTGATTAGTTTTTAGTTAAGAGAAAACTTTATTTTTGAAATAAACTGTTGAAAATTTTATCTAAATCTCAACTTTTATTAAGTTGATCATTTATATAAATGCTTCTTACAACTAATTTTTGTTTACATTTGCCACACTTGATAGATATTCCCAATTTATTTGGAAATTTCTTCTTATTGTTAGTAGATTCTACATCTACTAATATCAAATCATGTTTGTTATCTTTTTCATGTATTATATTATTAACAATGTCTACTCATTATTTTGCATATACAGAGATTTTATTCCATGTTATTAATAGTTCTGCAACTGATTTGTGTTTAGGTCGCAAGTGAAATCAAGAGTCCATGCTTTGGAGAAAGTTATTGCCTCTGAACAAAAAATGCCCTCGGCTAGGGTTACTCGGACCAAAACCCGCATGAATAAGGAAAATTTACAGCTACATTCAAATATGGATGCTTTAAATGCAAAACCAACAAAAATACAATCTGCTCAAAAATTAACATCTACCATAAAAGTGGCAAGTGTCTCTAAGATAGCTACTCTCTCTGCAAAGAAATTCATTTCATCAAAAAATACGACTCCACAAATCGTTAAGAATACCAAGCTCGTATTGCAGTCCACACAAAAGTCGAAGTCACCTGCCAAAGATGATTCTTTGAAGAAGCAGGCTAGGGAAGAGGAAGCTTTGAAGAAAAAGGAGCAGATGCTCCTAGAAAAACAGGAAGAGCGGAAACGGTAAGTTTGTGTAAATTATTAACTTTCTGAAGGAAAAGTCTGTTTTCACCAGAAAATCCGGTTTGCTTACTTTGTGTTCTGGGCGCTTTCAAGTCATTCTGAATTATTTGAAACCAATCGTGCTGATTAGTTTTTGGCAAAGGTCGGTCGGTTCTATTTTTCGTAATCAAATGATTTTTCGCGTTTTTAATAATACTTAATATAGAGGTACAATTCATAGGTTGCATTACATAGTGCAGTGCATTACCATATGCTGATACCATGGATTATTGAATTTTCTGTTTTAACACTGTAAGATTAACTAATTAGAGTACTTTTTCTTTATAATTTTTATTTTCATTTCTAGTTTTTGAATTTTATTTGTAGTTTCCACTGAATGAAAGCTTGGATTATGGCCGAAACGTATGGATGTAAAATAATTTTTTGAAAGAAATTTGTTTTTTATTCCTGTTATGCCCTAATATTATGCTTTGGTAATATATATAAGGTCGATTTGAAGGTCACTTAGGTACATATGATTTTCGAATTTTAGGAATCCAAATAAGATACTTTGCTGAAGAAACCATACCTCTAAAATGAATTCTGATGACGGTGGGTTCAAGGTCATACATTTGGACGCGATTGGGGCACTCTAAATGGGTCAAAATGGAGTTTTTTAAATTTTAACTTTTATTTAGGACATCAGAATTCATCTTAGGGGTTTCTTCAGCATAGTATCTTATTTTGATCACTAGAATCCGAAAATCATATATGCCAAAGCGACTTTTTTGACTCATACCAATCGACCCGCTTTAATATATATATGTATATATATATATATATATATATATATATATATATATATATATCAATATATTTATTTTTTCAGCAAACGTCTAGAGAAGGAAAGATTAGCTCAACAATCAAGAGAACAACAAGAGAGAGAAAAACAAGAAAAAATTGCGAAAGAAAAGGAAAGGAAACAAAAATTGATACAAGAAAGAGAAGAAAAGGCCAAGGAAGAAATGCGATTGAAAAAATTGCAAGCGCAGCAAAGGGCGCAGGAAGCTGAAATGCGAAGGAAAGCAGAAGAGGCAGCAAGGCTTGAAAAATTGAAACAGATACAGGAAGAACAGAGAAAATTAGAGGTATTCATAAAATCAGACATTGTTACTTTCATTTGAAATTTTAACTTTTTGATGACCGCCCCAATTGTCTCAGAGGGTTTTATCAGTAGCGCGTCCAAACACTGAAAACAAAAATTTTCTTTTGAACTGAATTGCATAAAGTAAATTTTAGTAATAGCCAAGAATTCGAAAATGAAAATTTGAATTATGTTTTGCGGAAGGTAAATTTTTAAATATCGAAAATTATTCGGATTCTAATTTTAATTCTAACTAATATCTTAAAGCTCACGATTACATGAGTGACTATTCATATTCTGTAAATGATTTATTTACAGTATATAAATACTGTAAATAAATCATTTTAACATTGTTTAATTTAATTTATATAATTCTTATAAATAGAAATTGATATAAGGTCTTTTACTGTAACTCCGTTTAATTTTTATTTATTTACTTTTCATGTAATCATAAATAAACGTAGTCATCCAATTTATAAGCTTTTATATTTTGTCTTTTCATAACGGTATGGGAAGTTCCAGAATATTGCCTTAAGGCACCATAAGTTTCTTATGAGTTGTTAATTTTTACCTTATACCGCATTGTCATAATATGGATGGCGTTTCGATGAAACATTATCTTGTATTTTCTTTTGTATTTTAATCAAAATTATCTACGAATGTTACTAGATGTTATCGTTAATAACAGTTGTGGCAAAAATTGAAATGAAACAAAAATATCTCTTGTTTTGAAATTTTTCTGAGTTCTGGAATTATTTTTAATTGCAGATGCAAGTGAAGCTTGCAGCAGAGCAAGCTAGATTAAAGGCACAAGAAGCAGAAAAAAAGCAACAGCTTCAAACAAATGCAAAATCAGATGCTACATTTGTACATCCGAACCCAGAAGAAAGCATATTGGATTATAGCATTGCCCCAGTAGCTATGGTTGATGGTTTTGAAAATCTTCAATCGGATTATTCCACTGATGAAGATGAAAAACCAACAAAGAATAATAAACAGAGGCCTGATTGGAGCAAACGTAAATTAACTTTTGATTACTTTTGCATTTACCCAAATTTTCAAAATCTTGATAATTACTTAGTATTGTAGTTAATTCTGTTAACTTTGACTGTTCGATTATTAGTTTATAAAAAGAATATATGTAATGTAATTATATTTACCTTTATAATAAAAATTTATATTTTTTCAGCTGAAGCACGGCAAGCTGCAATTATAAATCAAGCAAGAACGTCAACAAAATTAGTAGATCTGTTGTTTAATGTGAAAGCGACCACACCGGATTTGAGAGTTATATTCCCAGGAATTAGCAAAGACAAATTAAATCGAAGATCTAGTGCTGTCTGGAAGACACCTCCTAGGTACTCAATGCTACCTCGATTTTAGAGATATTTTAAATTTTGTATATAGTCAATTTTAATATTAATCAATTTATTTTAACCTTTTTAAATCTTTGTTCATGTTTATATAATATATTGTTATTGCTGTAAGCATGTGTCACTGCAACTATTTTGTAGTGTTGATTGAAACATAGTGATATTAAATTTGTTACATTTCAGATATAAGATCATATTTTTCCTTATTTAGGCATTTTAAGCAATTTTTATTAAACTTTTAATAGAAAAAATTTAATTCTGTTTAATGTAAGTGTAATTCATGAACACAGTTCTATCACTTGGAATTTATTTTTACATGCAATAATTCACAAACCTTTTCGAGAATTCATAAAAATGAATATTGAAAATGCTTGCTTTGTATTTTTCATGATCACGCGAAATTCATTTTAATTAACTTGCATGTAATCGTCCAAAACTCGAAAATGATAATTTTTGCATTTCTTGACGTTTTGAAGGTTTTTTGAAGATTTTGGCATACCTCAGAAAAAATGGATGTGTGTGTGTATGTATGGATACAATTTTTCGTCCACGTTTTCGGGCGCACGAATCAACCAATTTGAATGGTTCAAAAAACATTCGGTTCCTATTGATAGGGAGATGTGCTGATTAGTTTTTGGCAAAGACAGGTCCAGCAGTTATGGAAATAAAGAGCAAAGAGTTCAGAAAATAGAATTTTTTTTTCATTTTTTTTTTTTTTAAGAATTTTTTTTTGTATATCGAAAATAATTCAGATTTTATTTTTAATTCTGACTAAAGTTCTAATATACTTTAAACAAATAATTTCAACTTTGCAATTCAGTTTATATAATTCTTATGAATATTAGACAATGTTACAATATTTATAATAATCTATTTCAAAACATTCAATATTCTTCGAACTTAATGCCGGATTCTTCGAACGATGCCACACACTCCATTAGTTTTTGTTTTTATTTAATTATGCTATTACCAACTCTTATTAATGTTCTACTTATTTGTAAGATACTTTATTTATAGTTTGTGTATAATAAAATACATAAATGCTCATATATTGCCTTTGACTTGGTGTGACGACAAAGTAATACATGTTGAATAATATTTTTTTTGTTTTATTGCTGTTGTATTACAACTACGTTTTTTTTGTATTAAAGGCTGAGACATAGATAAGGAATTGGGCAGAGTTGTTTTTATAGATTTAAAAGATATTGAATTAAATGTGGGTTTGTTTTATTTTATTTTATTACTTCAATTTGGACCTGAATTTTTTATTGAACATAAATGATTACACTTTAGATATATGAGTAAACCGCAATATCATTTACATATTTAGTAAATGAGTAAACCACAAACGTAATTAAAACGTTAATATAACGTAACAGATGTTACGTCAAACATAGCGTGTACGTAATCTAAGAGGCACAAAGACGTTTCTATTTCCGCCTCAAAAACGTAACGTACGAATTAATATATATATATATATATATATATATATATAAATTATAATAATAATAATAATAATGTATATATATATATATATATATATATATAATATAATAATAATAATAATAATGTATATATATATATATATATATATACATTATGTATATATACATATGTATACATTCAAATATGTATATATATATATATATATATATATATAAAAGTTTTTATAAAATCGTGAGTTTTCTGAATATAGTTTGTACAAAAGTAGTGAATCTGCTAGAATCCATCAAGATGTCTATAATGAAGTGAATCCTAGATGGAATGTGAATTACATTAATTCTGGTGGAAATGGCGCTCATTAAACCATATGATTTAAAAGAAAAAAAACTTTGTATATGCTTTTTATTTGCATGATAGCTCACTCATTTTACACGCAAAAAACTTGTAACAGCACTCATTTTAAAGCTTATGTTGAGCACTATAAAACCCAATTTCACCGAAATGCATAAAATGTAAAACCTCGACACTAGATGGCTTTAAATACAACAATTAAATTTTGAACGAAATAAAAAACGACTTTGCTCTTTCAAATTTTGCTTAATATTTTTCCTAGAACACTTTATGTAATACCGATTTATTAAGATTTTTATTGACATTATTTTATTCATTACATGATTTTCGTTAAAATGTATATTTTAGGAGATATTTGCAAAAAAACGAAGAAAAACGCCAAAAATATATGAATCTTTAGTTGCCAGTAACTTGAAAAGTATTAGTTTTTTTGAAAAACTATAGAAGACATTTTTTTCTTATAATTAGTTCTTCTATCGATTTCCGTTATTTTGAAAAAATGTAATCACACAATTGAGAAGGGGTGTCATCCCCCCTGGGGGTGATGGCGCAACCCGAATTGTTTTCACTTTTGACCTTAAGGGTAAGATGAACCTAATTCCAAAATTTCATTCAATTCGGAGCCCAGTAAAAGAATTCAGAGGTTATACCCTTTTTACCTCTCCGTTTACTGCACTAGATGTGCTGATTGGATCAGTATTATTTTTTTATTACACTCATATTGAAGTGAACTTTGTAATGATTAATTTTTTTTTTTTGCAATTTTCTTAACAATAACAACCCTTAAATATTTACAAAGGTTTTACTCAGCCTTACCCCAACTTGAATCGATCCAAAAAAACATATTTTTTCTTTTTTTCTCTGCAACAAAATTCTTTTTACAATTTGTTGGAGACTTACTACGTCGAAAGATATTAAATATCTCCAAGCGCGAGTCGCGCTTTTCACGTCGGGGTCCTCAAAGACTTGTACTCATTTGTCACTTTCGAATGACAATCTTATTGTTTTTCGGTTGAAAAATATTTTATAATTTCGCATCTGGCGAAAAATGAATATATAGTCGAAAAAAAAAACATTAGGAGAGAACGGAGCTTAAAAGTTCGTGGGTAAAAAGATCTACTGCCAATATCTCAAAAACAAGTAAAGTTAGAATTTTTTTAACAACAATATCACTTTTTGCCGAAAATTACTAATTTTTACATTCTATCTTAAGAATATATCTTAAATCTTCATAATCGCATATGTGATAAAAAAATCAACTGTTTATAGCGCCTTTTTGATAAAGGATATTTTTATTGGTAGATCATATGAAGTTTATATCTGATTCCAAAACGTAGGAAGGGATTTATCATTCATACTTCAATTTTAATTATCTCGTATGGCAAATATAAGACCATAGATATAGAAAAATATGTAGTTTTAAATAGAACTTATTTCCCATTGAAGCTAGCTATATTTGAAAATAATGCAATTTTACACATTGTAACATTCTGAAAATATAATATTATCTTATTCCATCCTATTTGCTTTATTAAATCTGAATGAAATATCGTTTGAATATCCATAGTATGATTTATTATAATTATATTTGTAAAGTCTTATTGTTGTTCTATAATGAATAATTAGTATTTATGCCTGTCGCTTACATATGCAATAAAGGTCAGGTACTTTTCTATAGTCATATATAAAATAAGATACAAAGAAATGAATGAATAATAAGTTTGCAGTGATTTTACAGTAGTAAATATGAAATATACTTTACAAGAATATTAAATTAACAGTTAATACTTCAATCATCTTAAAATATTGGGTGACTACATATATTTACAAATTATATATATATATATATATATATATATATATATATATACACGAGTATGGCTATCTCATATATACATTATTAATATAAAAATGAAAACAATAAGCATATTATGTTTTAATTAGTAATTGTTAAATAAATGGCGTATTACTCTTAAATTATTGAAAATTTAATAGAAAATATTTGCTTAATTTTATAAACTTGCTTATAGTCGATATAACATAAAATAAATTTATTCCTTAACATATTATACTATTTCTCTAGTGGCTTCAGCAGGTATATAATTATATACACTATCAAGAAAGATATTCTGCAAATGACAAACACTAATTACATGTGATCAAATGATCATAATATTAAAAATTTAAATTTTCATGCCAGATAATATCCAATTAATTTTATAATAAATGTAAATAAAATTCATATTATATTCACATACACTGTCATTTTATTAATATTGGTAAATTTTAAAATTGACTATTATCCTTTTAATTTAATGTAACATTTGTTCCAAAAACTTTCTAAATGAACCAAGACCAACAAATGAGTTAATGTAATAACTTGATGTAGTTGATGTAGCCTTTCGCAGAATACTTTCTTGAAAATGTTATAATCTGTTAAACTAATAAAAAGCAACACACATAGTCTTTCAAAACACCGTTAAAATCTGCAAGAAATCTGAACAGTATTTTTTTTTTCAAATGATAAAAAAGCAATTTTACAATTTAAGCTACAATATATAGCTTATGTATAGCACCATATAATTGCTTCATCATATCAATCATACACATTCGAACATTCCAAAATGTTATACACCTATATACTTACAGTAACAAATTCACACACAAACATCAGTGTCTGTATCGAGTCTTATTTCAGGATCGGCTTGTGCCAATTTAAGTAGAGTCTTTTGTACACGAAGTACAGGCAGCCGAACACTTGGATTATGGTGCCAGCATTCCTTCATCAATTTAGCCATGCCCGATAATGTCTAAAAGGAAGAAAAAATATATTTGGTAATCCACTTATTGTCAGTATGAAATTGCATTCAATTATAAAACTTAATCAATAAGAATTGATATTTAGAAAGAAATGCAGATGCAAATGCAAATGCCGAGAAATGCAAAAATTTTCATTTTCGATTTTGAACAATCTTTAACTATAAAAGACTATAATATCAAAAATGAATTATTCTAGCTGTGCAATAAATTATAAACTAGTTGTGTATGGCATCGTGCCTTGAGGCAAATTGCTAGAACTTCTTGTCCCGTAACGAAATGTTCAATGAATATTAATTGTTTTCAAATAGATTATTATAAATACTGTGACTGACTGTGACATTGTGTAATATTTATAATAATTATATAAACTGAATCGCAAAGTTAAAATTATTTATTTGAAGTATATAAGTGAACTTTAAAACTTTAGCCAGAATTAAAATTAAAATCTGAATTATTTTCAATATACAAAAAAAAAATTAAAAAAATATTTTTAACATTTTTTTAATTTAAATTTTTTTTTCAAGCAATTATTTTGTCAAAGCAAGCAGAAAGTTTTTTGAATCATTCAAATTGGATGCTTAGTTCTCTCTGCCATTTTTTGCACAATTAGCTCGGTATCTCCAAAACGATTAGACCTGCCTTTGCCATAAACTAAACACAACTTCTCCCAATCATTGATTGAATGTTTTTTGGATCATTCAAATCGGATACTTGGTTCTCTCAAAATCTCGATTTCTATATTCTGCACTCTTTGCTCCGTATCTTCGTAACGGCTAGACCTGACCTGCCTTTGCCAAAAACTAATCAGTACATCTCCCTATCAATAGGCATCGAATGTTTTTTGAACCATTCAAATCAGTTAATCCGTGCGCCCGAGAGCGTGACAAAATGCGGACACACAAAACACAAACACACACACACATCGGATATACGGGAAGTTAAATATAATATGATGAAATAAAAATGAGCTGTAGGGGAAATGGATAAAATGACACTGTGGTCTTAATTAAAAATTGGCTAGTTTTAATAACGCGTCCGCTACTGTATATAATAAAGAATGTTGTAGTCATAATCCTTACAAATTTTGAGTGGTTTTTATAAATTAATATAAATAAACTAGTGGTACATGGCATCGTGCATTAAGGAAAATTGCTGGAACTTCCCGTACCGAAACATAAAATTTTTAAAAAAGATTAAAATTTTTTTGAAAACTCTGAAAAAAAATTTTTTTTGATAATTTTGAAAATTTAGGAAAAAAATTGACTTTTGAAAAATCTGTTTTTTTATATTTTGATTTTTTTTGAAAATTTGTAACTTTTTGTCAAATCAATCGCGCTGCGTGGCTGTTTTGGAGACGAAATATCGAAGCGCGTAAGCGTCGTAAGACATTGATACGGAACCCATAGAAATGCAAATTAAATTTATTCTCATCATTAAAATCTCTAGAAAATATCAGACAATTTAACGTGCATATCTACAATATCTAATGATCATTTTGAACCGCCAAATGTCGTTTTTTACCTTTTCTTATTGAATCTCTGTAACCGCTAGACCTGTCTTCCCAAAAACAGTGTTCGTTTAGTCAATACAATGAATTGAATTGAATTATTCAAATCGTACGCTTCGTTTTCTCAATAACTAAATTACAATCTTTAGCTTTTTTGTCTAGTATGTTTGAAACGTCTTAACCTGCCATTACCAAAAACTAATCAGCACCTCTTATCAGTACGAATCGAGTGTTTCGTTCAAATCGGTTGATGCGTGTTCCTACAATTATCGACGAAAGTTTGTACCTAAAAACATCCATTTTTTATAAGGTATACCAAAATTCCAAAACCTATGAAACGTAAAGATATATAAAAATTTTCACTTTCGATTTTTTTGCGATTACTGTAGTCTATAACTTACCCTACGGAAAGTTAATAAATTATTAAGTTATTTAATCAATATTAATTAATTAATACTCAGAGTAATTTTTTTTTAAAAAAATTATATGCACTCGTTAACATATTCATACTAGTGGAGCGCATGGCATCGTGCCTTAAGGAGGTTGTTCTTTTTTTGTTCCAAAAAATGCAAGGTATTTGTTTTTGTTTTTCTCGAAATGTATTTATCATAGAGACATGCGGTTTTTTTTAAACAAAAATTACAAAATCATAGAATATTACGTGATTTTCTTCTTTTTTTGCGCCGTCATTTTTTAACCAGGCGGCGCCAAAGTCGGTCTTGCAAAATCGATCTCTTTTGCGGTGCCACAGATAAATCCGTTGCGCATCGCCCGAAAAAAAAAAAAAAGAAACTACGTTGAAGAAGAAGTTTGAATCCAGTCCCCCTACCAAAATGAAAGAAAAAAAGCAAAAAAATGGCAGCTATTTAAAAAAAAAAGTGTCAAAAAAGGCCTTTTTTGGGGCGAGAAGCTTCGCCAATTTTTTTGCGTAATGTTATCAAGTTGTTTGAGGTAGGGGGACTAGGTATTGCAGTGGTGAACAAATTAAAAAAAAATGCAAGTCGATCCGCTGACACATTAAAAAGGTCATGTGCATGAGGTATTATAATGAAAAAGAGGCAGCTGGCATACAATAGCTCGCGGAGCGATAAAAAACGCTTTCAAAGGATCATACATATAGAGATATATATATCTATGACTTCGTCAAAAAATAGATATTGAGATGATTTTTTTTTAAATAATTCTAAGGTTTTTAGATTTCATAATATCAAAAAATTTCAAAATTGAAACAAAGAAATATAAAAAAAAACAACCCCCTTAACACTAATCATACCAAGACTTAATATATACCTAATTCTACCATAGCGGGTCAAATGACCCAATTCTATGTTTCATGCTTGAATGTATGAAATATGGATGTTAGGAAGAAAATAAAAACAAAAATTAAATTTATTATAATTAAACAAAATAGTATGTTGAGCATTTCTATTACAGAAGCAAAAATAAAAAAAATTAATTCATAGTTGTATTCATAATTGTTGATTTTCCGCAAACATATTTTTTACATTTAGAGCAAACTTTGTTGGTTTTATTTTTTTTTACGGTATCCTATTTGACATCTCATACGTTTATAAGCATCTGTAGTAGACTTAGACAACGATACTTTCGTATTTGTTTCTTATTTTGGTTGTTGACTTCTCGAAAATCGGCACCAAGTTCTTCTGCTAGCTTGAGTAGAAAAGCCGCGAGATATTTTTTCCTGTCGTTTGCTTGTACAAAATCCAGGCATTTATGCCAGCTAAATCAAGGATATTAAAAAAAACTTGGAGAGGCCATCTGCAAGACTTGGATTTTGTAGTAAATTTCCTCGCCATTTGATCGGTCATGTCTACACCAAATTTGGTTTTATTGCAATATGAAACAGTTTCAGGTAAACGTTTATCATTGTTTTCCAATTTAACGAATTTATGTTTAGAACTAAGTAAAAGTACTTTGTTTGTTGGCTTACTTTTATAGATTGTAAGAGTGCAATTATCTGTTGCAAAAATTTTCGATGAAAATTGTTCCATATCATCTTTCTTTTGCTTCGTAATTAGTGGTAATTCTCTTTTAGTTGACCGAATAATAAAAAATAACCTGTATTACTATAGCTATCAAAATAAAATTTAAGCTAGGCACTTACCAAGACTATCAATTTCTGCCACTTTTTCTAACAATAAAAAGCTATTTTCAATCTAAAATTTGATATTTTCTTGAAATTATTTTGAGCTATTTTCGTTGAAATACTTTAAGCAACAGTGTTTAGAAGAATGTGCAACTTACTGACTACAAATATGACTCGACAATCTCATAAACCAAAAAATTTTCTCCGGGTCAAATGACCCATCGTGGTAGATATCGGTATACAAGAAGGATTACTCAGAATAAACAAAACAAAACAAGAAAAAAAAATTGTTTATAACTGTACTTTAATTACTTAATAAAAGTCATGAAGTCAAATGTGCAAACGCAATGAAATTAGACGTGCATTTTCAATGCAAAAGTTCAAAATGGGTCATTTGACCCGTTATGGTATGTTTAGTGTTAAGGCAAATTGCTGGAACTTCCCGTACCGTAATTAAAAATTTGAAAAATGAAAATAATTAATAATTGTTTTGAATAATTTCAAATAGATTATTATTACATACTGTAAACTTTTAAATGCTTTTTAAATTGGGCCACGAGCGTATTTTATGAACAACTTATGTGCAATTTTTAAAAAATCCGTCAATTGGTAAAAAAATTTGGATAGTTCATAAATAGGACATTTTTTTATATTTTTGGAAATTTCACAAAGTTTGTGTTTGGATACACATATGTTGTTATATATCATTGGAAATATGATAAAAATCTACATAACATAGTGTTATTCAAATATTGTCTGGTTGGATTAAAAATAATTTTAAAAAATCAATAAGTTGCTAAAAATTTTTTTTTTTCGTACAGAGTTTTTGGAAAGTTTTTTTTACTTTTTTGAATACATATATATTGTTATATATCATTCAAAATATGATAAAATTTTGCACAATATTGTATAATTGCAAAATAAATGTTTAGACCAAGGGCGAGCAACCTTTTTAACCCACGGGCCAATTTGATTTTCAAAATTTTATGGCGGGCCGCACGTAATTTATATATATATATATATATATATATATATACTAGCTGACCCGGCAAACGTTTAGCCACAGGAAACATTTTTAGAAAATCATTAGTATTAGAAATGACTAACTAATTCTGAATTTATAAATATGTGGTATATAAATAAAAGGGGCAGCTAACATATATTACATTGATAATTTACCCACTACAACGATAAAATACTAGCATACATATTTGAAAGAGATTTCAACTCAACTATAAAAAAATTCAGTTTTCTCTCAAAAACAGTTTTATCTTCAGATTTTAATATTAAATTTCTAATTTTTTTGCTAGAATTGCTTCTTCTGCAAGACATTCAAAAACTATGTACTTCTAATGCACATAGGGAAATATGTGTACAAT